CTCACAGACGGCATATTTCCCAGGCCGTGGAAAAGGCCAAGTCTTGTCCTCCTCCGCAAGGAGGGCAAGCCAGCGGAGAGTCCGCTTATAGGCCGATATGCCTGCTAGACGATGCGAGCAAATTGCTGGAGCGAGTCATCGCTGCCCGCATCGTCCGACACCTGTCCCGGGATGGTCCCAATCTATCCCGCGGTCAGTATGACTTCCGGGAGGGCCTGTCGACTATCGATGCCGTCAGACAAGTCAGAGCCCTCTCGGAGCAGATGGCCGCGGGAGGGGAGGTGGCGTTGGCGATGTCCAGGGACACTTTAATAGCATCCCATGGGGCCGGGTGTTGGGCGATGAGAGGACATCACCTCTTGCCCCCCTACCTGGTCGCTATTATAGAGGATTATTTCCGGGACAGGCAGCTGGAGTTCCATAACAAAATGGAACTCCAGCAGCGGAGGGACGTGTCGTGCGGCGTTCCACAGGGGTCCGTGTTGGGCCCCCTACTTTGGAACGTCGCATACGACCACGTTCACCGCGCGGCCCTACCCCCTGGCTGCCACGTCGTCTGTTACGCGGACGACACGCTAGTGATGGCCGGGGGCACGACCTGGGAGAGAGCCGTGGGAACGGCGAACGTCACAGTGGCGTGTGTGGTCGGCTTCATAAAGGAGTTGGGCCTGAGGGTGGCCCCTGCTAAAACGGAGGCCTTGTTCTTCCCCGACGTCCCGCGATGGGATGAGCGTGGTGCCCCCTCAGACACATATTGTGGTGGACGATGTCCGCGTCCCGGTGGGGTCTACCATAAAGTATTTGGGCCTCACCGTGGATGGTCGCTGAGGCTTCGTCGAACATTTCGACGAGCTAGCCCCGCGGTTGGGCCGCCGAGCAGACGCTCTGCTCGGCCTCATGCCCAACCTCCACGGTCCGAACGAGTCGGTCAGGCGGGAGTATATGCACGCCGTCCTGTCCGGGGCCTTTTACGGGGCTCCGGTTTGGAGTGGGAAGGCTCTGGCCAGCCGCCGAATAAAGCAGAAGTTGCACAGCGTCCAACGGCGGCTGGCCTTGCGTATCTGTAGGGCCTACAGGACGGTGTCGTACGTGGCCGCCATGGTTCTCGCGGGGGTCCCCCCTGCCGAGTACGTGGCCGACGCCCTGGCGGAAATCTTTGCCAGGGTAAAGGCCATTCAGCTGCGGGGGGGGGGGATCGTAACCCCGAAGAC